TTGAACCTGTAATATTCTGAAATTTAAAAAAATTTTAAAAAATACTTAAAAATTGAATGGGTCTTACTCTGTTGTCCTGGCTAGAGTATAGTGGTATCATTATAGCTCACTGCAACCTCAAACTCCTGGACTCAAGTGATCCTTCTGTCTCAGCCTCCCAAAGTGCTGAGATTACAGGCGTGAGCACTGTGCTGGGCCTGTAGTCATTTTTATTGAATACTCTTATTTGATATTAAAACAACATATTATTATAGTGAAATACAGGTTCTAAAGATTTGGGTAGCATTTTTGTAAAATTAAGCTTTCTGTTTTATTTCTAGTACCTATACTGATTTTACAACTTTCCTGGTATGCAACAGCCTATAGAGTGCTGTCTTCAAGGAATAATCTTATTATAATTTTTCTGTTTGGAACCTGATGTTTTATAAATCTATACTTTTGTTGTTTTCTTTCCTCTCCTAATAGGCTTAATATGAAGACTTAGAGAGGAACGATTACAGATAGTTATTAGCCCCCTATAAAATCTACTGTGAAACCTCAGTAATTCATAATTACAAGAAATCCTTTTCTAAAGAGTTTCATTTTATTAATTTTCCAGTGTAAAATAGTTATTAAATATCTGAGATTTGTAGAGTAATAATTCAGGGTTTGAATAATCAGGGAGATACAGTTCCTGTCTTCATGGAGCTTATAATCCAATCATAAGGGGACTAAAGCAAGGCAAAGTATAAATTCTGCCAGATGCTTTAGTTTTATCACTGTTGGAAATATACATTAACTTTAATAAGGAAAATTATATTGCCTGATTAGAGATCTTTAGAAATAAGGAATTAGTGTGGGCATGGTGGCTCATGCCTGTAATCCCAGCACTTTGTGAGGCCAATGCAAGAGGATCGCTTGAGGCCAGGTGTTTGAGACCAGCCTTGGCAACACAAAGAGACTCCTTCTCTACAGAAAAATTTTAAAAATTTCCCAGGTATGGTGGTATGCACTTATGGGAGGCTGAGATGGAAGGATTGCTTGAGCCCAGGAGTTCAAGGCTGCAGTAAGCTATAATTGTGCCACTGCTTTCTAGCCTGGACAACAGAGCGACACCCCATCTCTAAAAAAATAAACAAAAAAAACCCTAAGGATTTAATGAATAGCTATAATCAGTAATTTACTTTTAGAGAATATGTTAAATATTTTATAAAATTATATAAATGTAGATAGTTTAGTTGTAGTTTTTGTTTATAATAGCTTACTTAGTAAACCATTTTTAAATGCATAAGACTGACTGAAACTTATGCATTGTGAATTAAGTGGTGTTTAAAATAATGAGATATTGTTCTTTAGATATGTTAAAATAGTAATCTGTCCTAAGTTCACAACTTCAAAAATAATTGTGCATTGATTTATTGAAGAAGTAATTGAATGCCAGAAACACTGTGCCAAATGGTCAGAGTAAAATAGCAAGCCAGAAACAGCACCTGTCTTCAGGGAACTTATAGTTTAGCAATCAAAAGATAGAGTTCATGCATTTCCAAGTCCAGAAATATCTGAAAAGAGGTATTTAATTATAGTCCATAATTTATTCATGTGTTATATTCTATTATTCTATATTATATATTTTCTAATCTATTCATGATAAGTGCAAAAGGAAAGAAAAATTTTACTATCATTTAAAGGTTATTAATCTTAAGGTCATAATTAATTATTTAATTTAAAAAATTCCTAAAAGCATAATAAAACACAATGATATATATGGGGGATTTATGGGCTAATTTGTACTATCAATAAATAATTCGACAAGGGATCTTTAGTTGTCTCATGTCAAATACATTTTAACTCCAGCGGAAGTTAAAAGGTGGGGAGATGGGCCAGCAAAACTAATTCCAGTGAGAAGATCTAAAGACATTTTTCCTTGTAAATCCACTTTCCTGTCAGTAATTTGACAATGATATCTCCAATGTATTAGAACCCTTGAAATAGCAATAATAATAATAAAGTAACTGTAATAGCTGCTAACATTTATTGAATGTGTTTTGGGGGCAGCATTGTGTTAAATTCTTTATATGCATTGACTTTTTAATCATTGCAATACTTTTTTTTTAAAGAAATTTAAAACAAATATATCTTTTCCTTATTTATTCTCCCCAATGGGACATCCTGCAGTCAAGGGCTGCAATACCTTCTGAGAAAGGGACTTAAGGCTTTTAACAGATGAGGAACTTGAGACAGAAAAGTTGAGTATCTTGCCTAACGTCCTGTAACTAACATGACTGGTGGAATTGGGATTTGAACCCAAGTCTTCTTTCTCCAGAGTCTGTGGTTTTGTATACTGTGGATTGCTGTTGCTGTTGCTTTCTAAAATTAGGCTGTATTCCTACAAGCAGTCAAATGTATACCTCAGTATATAGTTTTGCGTTGCCAAGTCATTAAACAGTGTTTTTAAGTCAATTCAATGTTTAGTTATATAAGTTTTTTGCTGAAAATAATGGCATAGAGTTTTTAACACTCAGCCATAAATTGATATGACTAAAAACATAAATAGTATAGACCAAAAAGTTTATATCACAATTCAGTTCACCCACATCAGAGACATGATTTTGTGTTTCTAGAAGCAGTAGTGAATGATACTAGTGGTGAGAACAAATCTGGCGCAGCAGACATCGCAGCCAGCCAGCATGTCATGGTCTGTGCACTGCAGGAGCTCGGGAGCCTGGTGCAGAGCCTGAATGCCACCGCGTCCCCGCTTATTCAGGAAGCATCGATAGGTATGACGTTCACTTACTCGCTGGCATATTTTTCCTCTGTTCTTCAAAGTCATAGGTGTGATTGATATTTAACTCCTAGTTAGTTGCTTATCATCATAATTAGAAATTTAGGTCATTGGGTTTCATTTAAGTTAAGATTCATTGTGAAAGGGAATATTGAATTTGGAAGACAAATGAGAAACAATCATTCATGGTAGTTTTTTCTAATAGTTGACTAAAATTTGTTAAAGACTTTCATTTAATTTTACATCAACATTTGTGTTTTGTGGATATATTTGTACTATGTTCTTTGTAGAAAATGTTCCTTTAAAGTACTCTGCTGTTTATAAGTAATATATGTGGTTTTTGGCAAAGTTATAAAACTATATGTCTGAAATTATGATTTTAATTACTGTGTTATATACATAGTCTTAGTTTCCGAAATCATTTGACTTTATTAAAGAGTAATATTTTCAGTCTTTCTTTTTTTAGGACTTTTGGAGATTGTGACTTCAGTGTTGCTTCATCCAAGTATGGCTGCTCGGCTGGCTGCTGCATGGTGCTTGCGCTGTGTGGCTGTGGCATTACCTTTCCAGTTGACACCATTTCTAGACAGGTGTGCAGAGCGGCTCAACAACTTGAAGACTTCACCAGAAGCTGTTAGTGGGTACAGTTTTGCAATGGCTGCTCTGTTGGGTGGAGTTCATCAGTGTCCTTTGGGCATTCCTCATGCCAAAGGAAAGGTATGACCGAGATCCTAGATTTGTGAACACTAGTTACCACATGGGCTTTAGTCTGTATAGGAACACTGCTGTTTTTAATGTTGAATTGGATGATGAAATAACAACAGCTTTCCTATGTTAATGTAGTGTTCTGCAAATATGGGGTTAAACAGACCCTAATTATAATTTAATATTTAATTCTAACATAGGAATAATAGGTTTGGTCTGGGTATAGTATGTTATAATTTATTTTAGAGGGGAAAGACTTACAGTAATTATTTAAAAACCAGCTTTTCTTTCAGCTTTTAGAAATAAAAGTTCACATTGCTATATTCAAAGATGTCAGGAGAATATGCTGTTGCCATATTTAGCATTTTGATAATACTTAAAAATTGAACCTGTAATATTCTGAAATTTAAAAAAATTTTAAAAAATACTTAAAAATTGAATGGGTCTTACTCTGTTGTCCTGGCTAGAGTATAGTGGTGTCATTATAGCTCACTGCAACCTCAAACTCCTGGACTCAAGTGATCCTTCTGTCATAGTCTCCGTGTAGCTAGGACTACAGGCACATACCACCAAGCCCAGCTAATTTTTCTATTTTTAGTAGAGATGGGGTCTCACTCTTGCTCAGGCTGGTCTCGAACTCCTGGCCTCAAGCAGTCCTCTTGCCTTGGCCTCTCAGAGTGCTAGGATTGTAGGAATGAGCCACCACACCGAGCCTAGGGCTAGATTTTTAAATTCTGATTTTTTTCTGGGACATTATGCCCAAGTCCATTCATTCTTTTGAGTTCCATAGCTACTACTTGACTCCAGGTTTCCATTTCTCCCTTTCTCATGTAGTTGCTTCCCCATCATTTATCCTTTGTGAAGTCTTCTTCTTCCATCTTCCTCATACTGCTTTCATATTTCACATTTGCTCAGAGACCCTTAGGGACTGCCCAGCACTCAGAAAATAAAATATAATCTCCTCTGTCTGGTAAACTGGTACCTCATAATTTGCCTTCATTCTAGATGTTCATTCTGATTTCCTGCTACTCAGACGAGTCATCTTGCTTTCTTCACAGGTCTTTTTCAGCCTCCATGCCTTTCCTCTGCTAACCTCTTACATTAGAATTTCATCCACTCCCCTATTGACCTGTACCAAACTTAAATCTGTTTATTTAGAGCCCCAATTCAAGTTCCTTCTCTTTCACGAACTGTCTTTAAAACTACTGAGTGTGTACCTGCCTTTCCCTGTGGATGTAAATACAGCAAAGTACTCAGAACAGTACCAGCTGATATAACCATTTAATTAAGACATGCTATCGTTATTGGTACTATTATCCTATATTCAAAGATTTGGTGAACTCCTGTTATGCATCTGCCACTAAGCTAATCTTATGGAGTTTATAGTCTTAGAGAGTGAAGACACAGAAAAAATAGGAAGTAGATTAAATGAGAAAAAGTGGGAAGTAGATTTATCACATGATTAAAAGACAAAATAGCACAGATGCTGTGTTAATTTGTTTAATCCTCACATGAGTGAGGTAGGCCCTTCTATTATTTCTATATACCAGTGAGGGAACTAAGAGCGGGGAGGTTAAGTTGTACCAGGTCAGAAGGCTGGTAAATGGCAGAGTGGGATATGAACCCAGGCAGGCTGGCTCTAGAGCTTATCCTTAACCACTACACTGTTCTGGGTCTCCTCAGAGTCATCAGCGCAGTCGAGACTGAAAAGGTCTTGATGTTGCCTCTTTGAAAATATGTTAACAGCAACAACAAAATAAAAGGACAATTTCTTTTTAAATAAATATGCTAGTTATCTATTTTCTTATTTGATTTGTTTGAGTTTTTAAATTAAAACCCAATTCTAAACTTTTCTTGCAGATGGTAGTTAGTATTGCTGAAGATCTTCTACGAACTGCTGCCCAAAATAGCAGGCTGTCTTTACAGCGCACCCAAGCTGGATGGCTTTTACTTGGAGCACTTATGACTTTAGGTATAGTTATATTTGAGTAGGATTTTGTCTTAGACTAGAACTGTCAGTAGACTGTAAAGCAAATTTAATTTAAAAGTATTAAACTTCACATTCTAGACTTTGAATGAGGTTATAAAATGGTAAAGATGTTTTCCTCATCATTTGGTAGTAGATTCTCTTTTTGGTAAATTCTGTTTTAGTACATTTAATGAGAAAATTGTCAGCAAAGTTTCACCTTTACCATCAGAATAACCATTGTCTACCTGACTAGCTTATTGTTAATCAAAAGAGATAGAATATGGGGGGCAAATTCCATCCCCTAAGTGAAGATCAGTGATGCAATTTTACTGGAGTGGCAAAGTCACAATTGGTATTGTTGATGCTACTTTTTTGGGGTAACAAGGCCTTATGTGTTTCACCTTCCAAGTGCTATGACAAATCTGAGATACAGGTAAAGTTTAGCATTGTACATAGGACAGAAATATGTATTATCATTGTGATGAAGTGTGCCCACTTTTTAGTTCACATGTTTGGCTGTTGCTGTAAAAAGTATGTGGGTATATGTAATACAAAGTTATTCACTGTTCTAAGCATTCTATTGGAAATTATACTTTGACCTAGTTTTCTTTTCTAAAGAAAATAAAAAGCGTTAACTGTTTTCCAGAAGTTTATGTTAAGTATGTTAAGTGGTATGTTAAATGAATTTCTTAGCAATGTAAATACAGCTTCCTAGTTCTGAATATGCTGCTTCTCCATGAAACTAAATTAACCTTATAAATTGCCCACAAAATGGAGGAATATATATGTGTGTGTGGGAGTGGGTGTATCTGTTTATGTACATAGATATTTATGAAAAAGATCTCATGGAATATGTCCCAGATATATTTTATTGTTGAGACTATGTAATCCACCATTCTGAATATAGCTGGGTAATTTTTAAAAATTGCTTTTTGTGTATTTATGTTTGGATGCTAAAAATATCGATACTTTTAAAGTGAATTTTATTATGCTTTAATAGATGTATATCTTACTGGATAAAGAACATTTTGAAAATAATGTTAACTTTAGAGATAAAAATAGAGTGAAATGACAGAGAGATTATTAAAGCTTGAGTGGGGGGCTCATTTTCTTTTTCTTTTGTTTATAGTGTATGTTACCTATATATGGTTTTGTATTCTCATTTTCTTGGTTAGGACCATCTGTTGTCCGTTACCATCTGCCCAAGATGTTGTTATTGTGGCGAAATGTTTTCCCTCGTTCTTTAAAGGAATTGGAGGCTGAGAAGGCCCGAGGTGATTCTTTTACCTGGCAGGTGACTTTGGAAGGTCGTGCTGGAGCTTTATGTGGTAAGAACTGAAAAGATCGTGCTTTCAGAATATGATGATGTTACTAAAATATTTGTGAAGAAAAGGAAAAATCGCTATTTTAGTTTTTTAATTTGACATAGTAATGATAAATTCATGGACCTTTCGATTTAGAAAGAAACTTTATAAATGATTGACTCCAGTTTGCTAATTTTGTAATAAAAATGAAGCTGAGACTCAGAGTGGTTGGAGTTGGTGGTAAGATAGGAGCTAGAACCCAGGCCTCTGAGTCTCACTTGTTGCAGACTTTACCTGTCAAAGAAGCACTGAGTTACCATGTTAAAAAAACACAAGAGGTAGATAAAGGAAAAAGAAACTCAGGATTACCAAGGTTATTGAGTTTACAGTTTGTCTTTTCATAATGGAAAAACAGCTATTTTTTGACATCATTATCAAATCTACAAACCTTAATACATTTTTCAGACATCAACATTACAAAAATTATAGATACAGTTGTTTTTGTCTAGGAATTAGCAGCTTCCAGGAAAGGCTCAAGTGTTGTTTAATTTGTAAACTAGAATTACATTGGGTGTTCCTGTTCTTTTTTGGTTTATCTCAGGGTGAAAATCCTTCTTTTCCCAAACTGGGAGAGAGACATACTTAACCATGAGGGCGGCTGGGCAAGGGGTCGGTTTGCTCCCACATATCTGAGAGGTGTTTCAGTCTTGGCTCTGTTGCTGAAGAGCCAGTAAAGATACTCCTTCTCACTGGATCATTTTGTTCACTCCTGGTTCTGTCTTAAAACTGCTTGCTTTGTAGTTATCTGAGTTCCTGTGGGGTTATAGTCCTCTGAATTTGCACGTACAGAAATCTAACAAATATCTTCCCTCCCTCCATTTCTGCTGTCCACCCATCTTCTAGCCTTCTCTAATGATTTTTCTCTGTAATTGTTGCTGGGTTTTCTTTTGGTTTGACATGGTTTCAGAACCTTGTATTTTATAATAATTAGGAATTATAGGTGCCTTTATACTTATATAATTTAATGAATTTATTCATGGTCATAAAAGCTGCTCCAAATCTGTCCTTTCAAAAATTTTGTCTAGCCATGAGGAGTTTTGTGGCACATTGTCCGGAGCTCCTAACTGAAGATGTGATTAGAAAATTGATGACTCCTATTGAATGTGCCATGACTATGATGTCGCAGTAAGTAAGCAATTATGACCAGTTCACATCCTATTTTATATATCAATAAATACGTTTATTTATTTATGTAATTCTCAGTCATATTTTGTACTTCCTTCTAGAATCATCCAGGAAACATACAAAACTTTATTTTTGTAAAGTGACTTTAAAAATTGCAGTGGTGTGGATTGAAATACAATTATATCTTAAAGTATTTTTGTTATTAACTGTAAAGATCACATGATAAGCTAAAATGAAAATGTAATACTTTGACAGTACGTTGACACATTGCTAAAAAAAAAAAAGTTTGTAGTACTTATTCTAGTAAGCTGATACCAACTATCTTTTGATATTTTAGCATTCCATCTGTAATTAAAGCCCATGGAGCTCATCTGAAAGCTAGTGCTGCAATGGTCCGTTTAAGACTTTATGATATCTTGGCTTTGTTACCTCCAAAAACTTATGAAGGTAAATAAAATTTGCAGTATCTGATAAAAATTCTTTACAGTTCTTCACAGTATTGTAGAGTTCTGACTAAGGCTCTCCCACTGACTCACCTTGCAAAGGAAGGTTTTCTTCCTTTTTATTACAGTTTTCATTTTACCTTTCTTCAAGTGGAGTAGCTGACACAGTACTTACTGTGTTCTCCTGTTCTAAGCCCTTTACATGTATTAGCTTCTCTGACTCTAGCATAACTTAGGAGACAGTAAGCCCTACTTAACAGATGAAAAATCTCAGGTAGAGAGAGGTAAAGTAACTTGTCCAAGTCTTAGAACTAGTAAGTGGCAGAGCTTGGATTCAAATCCAGCTGGTTTATCTTCAAAGTCTGTGCTTTTAATTATTATCCTAAATTACTTTATGTATGTGGTAATATAGGCAGTAATTTAGGGTTCTGGAGAAAGAATAGTAATATACTTTACAGCAATCAAATATTAAATATTAAAAGTAAAATAAACCGTTGATTTCTCTCCAGTATAACCATGGCCAAGAATTTTGGTATGCTCTGATTTAGTGTTTGTACATTATTGAGCAATAAGTAATAAATAATAACCATATCACATTTAATATATTTAAAATAAAGGCTCTTTATTTGAATTTTTTGGTTATTTTAAATAATTGGGCTAAAAGGCATATGATAATAAAAAAGAAGTACTGTTATTGTATATTAAAACCAGCATTAAAATGTTTAATATAGATTTCTTTAAAAAAGGGAACAGGGACTTAATTATATTATTTCTGTTGAATATGTTGCTGTTCTTTATGGGCAATGATTGTAATTTTCATTAAAATTATTCTTTTTAATCTGATCTGAAGTTCTGTTTTTTAGGATCTTTCAATGCACTTCTTAGAGAACTGGTAGCAGAATTCACTTTGACTGACAACTCAGCCAACACAACTACTTCCCTCCTCAGATCCCTCTGCCATTATGATGATAGTGTTCTTCTTGGTTCCTGGCTTCAAGAAACTGATCATAAATCAATTGAAGACCAGGTAGTAAACCATACAGGGAAGTGAAACACTAGCTTAATCTAAAACAATGGTCCTATTACACATTGTCATTTAAAAAGAAAATATTGTAGATGAAGGTTTAATTTTCACTTAGCTTTCTTAGACACTTAAAGATAGCAACCTGGTGGTGGATAAATTGTGAAAAAAGGTCAACAGCAACAGTTAGGAGTTGGCAAATTATCTTTATTCAGTATTCTTTGCATTTAGATACCCTGTGGTGGCTGTGATGAAGATCAGTTTTAACTTGCTTTTTGGTTATTGGTGTTTTGTTTTGTGACAGGTGGGAGAGGAATGGGAGTTGGTAGGTTGAAAATTTAGAACCTCTTTTGCCAACAGAGTGTTATTTCTTATGTACTTTGGAAAATAAATGACTAAAGCTACCTTTTAAATATTTTTTGTAGGTTTAAGTTATTGCTAACATTGTTTTGTTCACACATTAAGATGGGTAGTGTAAAAATATTTTAGAAGGAGCAAGACTTTTTTTTTTTTGAGACAGAGTCTTGCTCTGTTGTCTGGGCTAGAGCGTAGTGGCATCATCATGGCTCACTGTAACCTCAAACTCTTGGGCTCAAGCAGTTCTCCTGCCTTAGCCTTCCAAGTAGCTGGTGTGTGCCACCAGTATAGGTGCGTGCCACCATGCCTGGCTAATTTTTCTATTAATATTTTTTGTAGAGATAGGATCTGTTGCTCAGGCTGGTTCTAACTCCAGGCCTGAAGCCCTCCTTCCTCCTGGGCCTCCCAGAGTGCCAGGATTACAAGGGTGAGCCACTGCACCTGGCCAAGACTTTTCTTAGAATTGTGTAAGGTGTTACTGATGACTTTTTTAATGGCTGAGTTGTATTTTTATTTGTTTTAAAATGTTCAGATCCAGTTATTGTTCTTTTTGTTGCCTTTTCTCCTTTCTCCCCTGTTCTATTCCTCATGCCCAATACTTAGTACGTGAATTTCCTAAACTAGATTTTGAATAATTTTTATTTCACTGTTTTGCAGCTCCAACCAAACAGTGCATCTGGAAGTGGGGCTCTCGAGCATGATCCTTCCTCCATTTATTTACGAATACCTGCTGGAGAAGCTGTGCCTGGTCCTCTCCCTCT